ACCGCATAATGGTTATGCGGTCCGCCAAATGACCGCAAAATGTGGCCCTGGGAACTGGGCTGGCCTGCTTCACTCTGCGGCTGTTATGCGGCCCGCAGACCTGTTCTGCGGTCGCATAATGCGTCGCAGAACCTTCCACCGCAAAAGTCCAAGGATGATTATGCGGCCAAAGTGCGGCCCACGAAAGGGTTATGCGGTCGCATAATTGGCCGCAGAATTCACCTCGAATTTGGCCAAAAAGGCTGCTTCACTCTGCGGCCATTCTGCGGCTCGCAGAGTGATTATACGGCCGCATAATGGGCCGCAGAAATGCCTATTTCTACAAAAATATTTCCTTCAACTCCCCAACGCACTGTTCAATCCAAAAAGTCCGAACCGCTACGTCTATTTCGGCATCACGAAAATCCCGGTTTGTAGGAAATTTTTTTATGGGCCCTTACATTCTCCCCCACTTAAGATCATTCATCCTTGAATGAGGATCAAGGTCCACTATTAGCAACTTATGCAGCTCGGTTATCATACCATACACCAGCAGCCCCAAATTTGATTAACTCCCTAAATTTCCAAAAATATTTCGCTAGAGTTTCCCTTGTAACTAGGCCTATCCACCTGTCAGAGAGCCCCAGAAACATATCTTACAAACATATGCACAACCCAACGATGTAACAAAACTCATAACAATACCAACCGTGGCCTCATAAGCAACATATAATCAAAAGAAACACCTTTACATTAACTGAACAAGTGATACAAAATTCATAGGCGTCAAGCTCATAAAAAGAAAGGATTACATAGCTATTCAAACAAGTAAGGATACTTCTTCTTCATTTCTTCCTCGGCCTCTCACGTGGCCTCTTCAACCTGCTGGTTTCGCCATAACACTTTCACGGAGGTAATTTCTTTATTCCTCAACTTTCGGACTTGTCTATCAAGAATGGCAACTAGAATTTCTTCATATGACAATTCTTCATTAACCTCAATGGTCTCAACTGGTACAATGGATAACAGATCCCCAACTACCTTCTTCAACATAGGCACATGGAATACTGGGTGGACTAATGACGGTTTGGGTGGTAGCTCAAGCTTGTACGCTACCTGGACAATTCTCTAAATGATTTTGTATGACCCGACATACCTCAGACTCAATTTCCCCTTTTTCCCAAACCGCATAATACCCTTCATGGGGGAAACCTTCAATAATACCCAATCATCTTCTTTGAACTCTAAGTCTCTGCGACGGACATCCGAATAGGATTTTTGATGACTCCGGGCAGTTTTCAACCGTTCCTTTATGATCTTAACCTTCTCCATAGCCTGATGCACGAGGTCTAGCCCTATCAACTCAGCTTCCCCAATCTCGAACCACCCAATGGGAGATCTACATCTCCTACCATTCAATGCCTCAAATGGTGCCATATGAATACTTGAATGAAAGCTGTTGTTATAAGCAAACTCTATGAGTGGCAAATGATCATCCCAGCTACCCTTGAAATCAAGAACACAAGCACGCAATATGTCCTCAAGCATCTGAATAGTCCGCTCTGCTTGCCCGTCGGTTTGTGGATGGAAGGATGTACTAAGACTTACCTGAGTACCCAAACCTTGTTGACATTTCTTCCAAAGATTGGCCGTGAACTGAGCCGCTCGATCGGAAATGATGGAAACTTGAGTGCCATGCAGCCTAACTATTTCCTTGATATACAACTGAGCATACTGTTCCGCTGTGTCGGTAGACTTAACTGGCAAGAAGTGTGATGATTTCGTGAGTCGATCGCCGATCACCCAAATTGAGTCAAACTTGTGCGGAGTGCACGGTAATCCTATCACAAATTCCATATTAATCATTTCCCACTTCCATATTGGAATTTCTATGTTCTGTGCCAACCCACCAGGCCGTTGATGTTCGGCCATCACTTGCTTACAATTTGGACACCTTGCCACAAAGTCTGCCACATTCCTTTTCATGTCATTCCACCAAGTGAGCCTCGGTCATGATTCTTTCTCGGAGACCATCTACGTTTAGAACACATAGCCGCCCTTGATACCTTAGTGTACCATCATCCATGCCAAGAGTAAAAGCCATCATTTTATGTTTATGAATCCCCTCCTTTAGCTGTACCAATAATGGATCATTGTATTGCTTCTCTTTGACTTCCACAACAAGCGATGATTTATCTCTATTTTGCATAATTACCCTTCCTTCACTAGAGTCCACGAGGCGAACTCCCAAACTAGCTAGCTAGTGAACCTCACTGGCCAACGACCTTTGACATGCCTCCAAGTGGGCCAAACTACCCATAGATTTTCGGCTAAGAGTATACTCCACAACATTGGCTTTCCCTGGGTGGTACAGAATATCGATGTCGTAATCCTTGAGTAACTCAATCCATCTTCTCTGCCTCAGATTCAGCTCCTTTTATTTGAAAATATATTGAAGACTCTTGTGGTTCGTGAATACATCCACATGGACCCCATACAAATAAAGACGCCAAATCTTCAATGCAAAAACCACTGCCGCAAGTTCTAAGTCATGTGTTGGATAGTTCTTTTCATGATTCTTGAGTTGCCTAGAAGCATAAGCTATAACCTTGCCATGTTGCATTAACACACACCCAAGCCCGATCCTTGAAGCATCGCAATATACCACAAACCCATCTGTACCCTCTGGAAGGGTCAACAACGGCGTCGTAATCAACCTTGATTTCAATTCCTGGTAGCTCCTTTCACAAGCATCAGACCATTGGAACTTAACCGCTTTCTGAGTCAATCTAGTTAATGGAGAGGCAATAGTAGAGAACCCCTCCACAAATTTCATGTAATACCCTGCTAAGCCCAAGAAGCTGCAAATCACATTTGGCGTTGTAGGTCTAGGCCAATTCTTTACTGCTGAAATCAATTGAGGATCAACCTTAATTCCTTCTCTAGAGACAACATGACCCAAGAACGTGACAGATTCGAGCCAAAATTCACACTTTGAAAATTTCGCGTACAATTGGTGCTGATGAAGAGTCTGCAACACTGCCCTAAGGTGATCGGCATGGTCCTCCCGACCTCGTGAATACACAAGAATATCGCCAATGAACACTATCATAAGATCCATGAAAGCTGTCGGGGCATTCGTTAGCCCAAAAGACATTACCAGAAATTCAAAGTGCCCATACCGGGTTCTGAAAGCTATTTTCGGAATATCCTGCTTCCTGATATTCAATTGGTGATACCCGTATCATAAATCAATTTTGGAAAAGTATCTAGGACCCTGTAACTGATCAAACAAATTATCTATTCTTGGTAACGGGTACTTATTTTTGATTTTGACTTTGTTAAGCTACCGGTAGTCAATACACATCCTCAGTGATCCATCTTTCTTCTTTACAAAGAAAACGGTGCACCCCATGGTAACACACTCGGTCGGATGAAAGCCTTTTCTAACAAATCCTTCAATTGCTCCTTTAGTTCCTTCAATTCTACTGGTGCCATCATGTAGGGTGGAATAGATATAGGCCGCGTTCCTGGCATCACATCAATCCCAAAATCAATCTCCCTGTCTGGCGGAATCCCAGGGAGCTCATCAGGAAAGACCTCTGGAAATTCATTCACAACTGGCACAAACTCGAGTATAGGCGCCTCAACATTGGTGTCTGTAACCCGGACCAGATAATAGATACACCCCTTGTTAATCATCTTCGTGGCCTTAAGGTAAGAAATAAACCTACCCTTCGGCACCACATTATCCCCCTTCCACTCAACAACCGACTCATTTGGAAATTCAAACCTCACAGTTCTAGTTCGGCAGTTAAGCTTAGCAGAACTTGAATAAAGCCAATCCATACCCATAATTACATCAAAATCGACCATCCCCAATTCAATGAGATCGGCCACGGTGTCCCGACCACGTACCGTGACAACACAACCCCTATACACCCTTGCAGCCACAATAGACTCGCCAACTGGAGTAGATACAGAGAACGGCTCATAAAGCTGTTCCGCTCTATCCCAAATTCCATAGCAACATAAGGGGTAACATAGGACAAGGTGGAACTGGGATCAATAAGAGCATATACATCATGAGTTTGGACAGTCAATATATTTGTGACAACATCTGGAAAAGCCTCTGCACTCTGGCGACCACTCATAGCATAGAAATGACTAGGTCCTCCTGAACTCTGCGCAGCACCCCTAGCTACACCACGCCCTACTAGTGTCGGAGTGCCTCGAGCTGGAGAGGGTGTTGAAGATGTAGCAGCTGCAGAACTGGATGGCTGTGCTATGCCCCTGCCCGTACCCTGGCAGGATAAACGACACTCTCTCTGAATATGACCCCTCATGCCACACTAGTTACATACCGACAGGTCCTGGTAGCAGATCCCCATATTCATCCTCCCACACTTGGGGCATGGGGCCCTCTGCTGCTACTGGAATCTCCCTCCTGATCCGCCCTGATAGTGGGGCCCCCTACTACCCTGATTGGGCCTGAAGCGACTCCTCTACTACTGATTATGCCCCGCTGGCGGTGCACTGGCTAAAGACTAAGCATAAGACTGGGATGGCCCTGATGACCCTCCCTTAAAAACTAATCTTCCACCACCAAATGAATCTCCAGGGTTGACCGCGGACCGGGCCTTGCTGGTACCCTCTCACTCCCTTCTATTCTTCAACTTACGGTCCTCTGTATCTTGAGCAAATGCTACAATTTTCCCATAATTCATATCTGAATTCAAGGCAGCTGTGGTAGCCTCATTAATAACTAAAGGGCTAAGGCCCTGCACAAATCGACACACTCTGTTTTCCATGGCGGGTATCATGTGAATAGCATATTTCGACAGGCGCGCGAACTCCATGTGATACTCCCACACACTCTTACTTCCTTGCTTAAGATTCTCAAACTCTACGGCACGGGCTGCCTTAGTCTTGGTAGGCAAGAAATGGTCTATAAAGGCATCAGCAAACTCACGCGTGCTGGAGGGCTCCCCTACTCCCGAGAGTCCTCCTATAGCTCAAACCAAGAATATGCCACCCCTTTCAAGCAGTAGGCGCCCAACTCCACTCCCTCTGTCTCAGTAGCGCGAATAACCCGGAGAGTCTTAAGCATCTCATCACTGAAGTCCTGTAGGTCCTCCTTGGGATTAACACCCGTGAACACAGGAGGATCCAACTGCAGAAACCTGTTCACCCTAGAACTAGTGGAATCCCCTGGTTGGCTAGAAGATGTGGGTGCAATATTTGACCTTTGGGCCTGAGAAGCCACTATCTGAGTCAGCATTTGAATAGCTCCCCTAAGATCCCCATAAGAAATACCAGAACCGAAAGCTGGGGCTCGAGGTGGAATCGGAATATCAGGTTGAGGAACCGTCGCACCCTCAGTAGGTGTAGGAATTGGTGTGGCATGGTCATGTGTAGTGGAATCAGGCAGTGAAGCAGTCGGTGTATTATCTTCACCCTTTGGGTATTCACCCACATCATCAAATAGAGGGTCAACTGCCACTCTTGAAGCAGTATTGGCCCCTTGGCTAGTTTTTGCTCTCTTCTTAGGTGCCATATACTGAAAGTTAAAGGAATGCACGAGTAGAGGAAGAAAAGTTGCACAATTAGTTTCATCGCACGATCCAGAATATCAAAGAAGGATATTGTTCCTAAATGTCCAAGTAGCCTCCAACTTATAGATGTGGTCGACAACACACCAATAAAAAGGACTCTACTAGACACAGCTCCGAGATATCCTAGGACACTTTAAAACCTTAGGCTCTGATACCAAGTTTGTCACGCCCCAAAGGCGTTTCATTTTGTTACATCGTTGTTCAGTTTGACTGAGTGGAATAAGAGCCCAAAACATAACCTAATCCGTTTGACCTTTCTAGCACCCATATACAACCCACATAGCGTCTACGGAGCCTCTAAAGATACAAAAGAGTGTAGAGAAGGTGCCGGCAACAAGGCCCCAGCTATACCTCAAAAAGTACAACAATATAAACAAAAGATATATTATATGACTCCGGAATAAAATGGGGCTCACCGAGTCCACTGAGAATAGGATTCAGCACCTATCTGTGATCAACACTGTCTGCTATGGAACCACCTGCATCCATTTAAAGATGCAGCGCCCCCGACAAAAGGGACGCTAGTACTGTCGAATAGTACTAGTATTAAAACTAAACACCATTTCAATAAAATGAATAGTAATAGAAACAGTCAAGAAGAAATATGAACTGTAAATAACACTAGAACGTCAAGTGAAAGATAACTTAGGTTTTCAAGTCAATTGCCACCAATATTCCACAATCCACAATACCACTGTGTTCTTACATGGAGTCTTATCTCGGCCCGATCGGCTAAGCCATCTTATTTGATACATCAACCATATTCACTATTTCATTCACATTACCACCGTGTTATTACACGGAGTCCGATCTTGGCCCGATCGGCTAAGCCATCTCATTTGAGACATCAACTATGTTCACAATTTCATTCACAATACCACTGTGTTATTACACAGAGTCCGATCTTGGCCCGAACGGCTAAGCCATCTCATTCGAGACATCAACCATTTCAATCGATCATCTTACTTCATATTTCTTTCCCATCTTTTCAGCACATTGGCACAAGTGGCTTTAATTATAAAGTCGTTCTTGGCGCTTGGCCTTATTTCATAATTCGAGTTCTTTTCCACTATCCAACATTATTATTATCATCAATAACAACACGGTTTTCATTCAAGACTCTTGATTTCACATGTGAGCAATTTAGAATTCAAGGCACATAGAGGCTTTTCACACAATTTGGCATAACGGTCTTTAATAGAATTTGACTTGAAGTCTAGGCATATTAGCACATATTCTAAGTCTTGAACATTTCCTCAGATGACGAGATAACATGATGAAATCATGGGAATACATATTGCACATATATTTGCAAAGCAAGCACATTCAGGATAGCAATTTCTAGGACGTTCAATTTGGGACTTACGTTGATTGCATGAATGCTGTGGGATTCAATTCTAAGAAGAGGGGGTTTAGCCAACATACCTCAATTGAGCCTCTTAAAACTATAAGATGTTCCAAAATACTAGCAACTTCAATCTATTTTAGCAATATAGCAAAATTGAACCCAAAATAAGGAAAATGATCATAATTCTAGCTCACTTTGAGAAATTTCTATCAAACACTTTGTGTGTATTAAGGTTTCATGTCCCTTTTTATGAAAGACTCCACCAACCCACACCCCATTCTTTTCTATCTTTAACTTAAACCTCCCCACATACCTTAGGAACACATGCATGCAAGGTAAGCACTCCCATCCCCGTGAATTACTTTGCTAATGGCCCATTCTAGTAACATTTTGAAATTAAGAATTTGGGGTGATAGAATCTTACTTCTTTGGAAGAAGACCTAGATGTTTCTCTTGATAATCTTCAAGGTTTTAAGTGAGAATTGAAGAGAAATTTGATGAAGATAAATTTCTCCCTCTAGGACCCTCTTTCCCACTCTAAATATATAAGAAAATAAGTTCAAAATGGTCCGAGGTAGGTGTTTTAACAGAATAGGGCCAGGTTTAGAAACCCCAAAAGTGAAGCTATGGAACAGGTTCTGCGGTCGCATATCTGACCGCATAATGGCTATGCGGTCCGCGAAATGACCGTGAAAAGTGGCCCTGGGAACTGGGCTGGCCTGCTTCACTCTGCGACCGTTATGCGGCCCGCAGACCTGTTTTACGGTCGCATAATGTGACGCAGAACCTCCCACCGCAAAAGTCCAAGGAAGATTATGCGGCCAAAGTGCGGCCCGTGAAACGGTTATGCGGTCGCATAATTGGCCAAAAAGGCTGCTTCACTCTGCGGCTATTCTGCGGCTCGCAGAGTGATTATGCGGCAGCATGGTGGGCTGCCAAAATGCCTATTTCTGCAAAAATATTTCCTTCAACTCCCCAACGCACTATTCAATCCATAAAGTCTGAACTGCTACGTCTATTTCTGCATCACGAAAATCCCGATTATTAGGAAATATTTTTTCGGGGCCTTACATCCTCCCCCACTTAAGATCATTCATCCTCAAATGAAGATCAAGGTCCACTATTAGCAACTTATGCAGCTCGGTTATCATACCACACACCAGCAGCCTCAAAGTTGACTAACTCCCTAAATTTCCAAAAATATTTCGCCAGAGTTTTCCTTGTAACTAGGCCTATCCACCTGTCAGAGAGCCCCAGAAACACATCTTAAAAACATATGCACAACCCAACGACGTAACAAAACTCATAACAATACCAACCGTGGCCTCATAAGCAACATATAATCAAAAGGAATGCCTTTACATTAGCTGAACAAGTGATACAAAATTCATAGGCGACAAGTTCATAAAAAGAAAGGATTATGTAGCTATTCAAACAAGTAAGGATACTTCTTCTTCATTTCCTCCTCGGCCTCCCATGCGGCCTATTCAACCTGCTGGTTTTGCCATAACACTTTCACGGAGGCAATTTCTTTATTACTCAACTTTCAGACTTGTCTATCAAGAATGGCAACTGGAATTTCTTCATATGACAATTCTTCATTAACCTCAATGGTCTCAACCGGAACAATGGATGACGGATCCTCAACGACCTTCTTCAACATAGACACATGGAATACAGGTGGACTAATGACGTTTTGGGTGGTAGCTCAAGCTTGTACGCCACTCGGCCAATTCTCTGAATGATTTCGTACAGCCCGACATACCTCGGACTCAATTTCCCCTTTTTCCCAAACCGCATAATACCCTTCATGGGGGAAACCTTCAAGAATACCCAATCATCTTATTTGAATTCTATGTCTCTACGACGGATATCCGAATAGGATATTTGATGACTCTGGGCAGTTTTCAACTGCTCCTTTATGATCTTAACCTTCTCCATAGCCTGATGCATGAGGTCTGGCCCTATCAACCTTCTCCAAAACCTCTACGTCTATTTCGGCATCACGGAAATCCCGATTTTAGGAAAACCTTTACGGGGCCATACAACATATTTTTGTTAATTAGACAATAAGGTGATCATGTCTACAATACCAATTCATTACCATTAGTTACTCCATTAATAAGTCTCAAAACACACACACACCCCTTCATGGTTCAAAGTGGAATAAGTGATTTAATCACAACACAACTTGTTTAACATTCCCAACACCTATACACAACCCACACTTAGTCTACAAAGCCTCTAAAAATACCAAAGAGTATAATGATAGTGCCGACAACAAGGCTCCGGCTATACCTCAAAACACATATGAAACAAAAGATGCACAACCCCGGAAGGAGATGGGGCTAACTAAGTCAGCTGGGAAGAATGAGCACTGCTGTCACTGGTCAGTATCCTCCGCAGTGGAACCACCTACATCCATTAAAGATGCAGTGCCCCCGGAAAAAGGGATGTTAGTACATGTCGAATAGTACTAGTATGAAAACCAAACACCAATTTAAGACCTCAGAAATATAGTATGAATAAGATGAATCAAGGCGACAATAGAATAGCATAGATAGCCATTTAAACCAAAGCAATCTTATCAAGAGCTGTCCTTAACATTTATAGAACTTAAGATGAGATCCTCTGTAACCATTTTTCACACAAAGCGGCTCCGCCGCCTCACCCCAATGTATGCAGGGGGAGGTGTAAGCACAATACTAAAACTCTACTCAAGCGGCCCTGCCGCCTCACCCCAATGTATGCGGGTGGAGATGTAAACACAATACCCATTTCACACAAAGCGGCCCTGCTGCCTCACCCCAATATATACGGATGGAAATGCATCAACGATACCAATACCTACACAAAGCGGCTATGCCGCCTCACCCCAATATATATATGTGGGTGGTGGTGCAACAACAATACCAAAACCATACACAAAGCAGCATTTCCGCCTCACCCCAATGTATGCAGGTGGAGGTGTAATCCCAATCACAATCTCTTCAAAATTTAGCATAATAATTTCCACATAAATCATGACTCAAAATCATAACATGTAGATACACAATCCATAGTTTGGGACATATCTTCAATTTATAATACAATATGATAATACCATTTGAAACACGAATTGAACATATATCTTTGTCACAAAACTTATTCGGAATACTCGATTTGTAATAAATATCTTGGAACTTACAAGGTTATTGGGGTTCCAAATCTTAAAGAAGAGTTTAGCCTACATACCTCAATTGAGCTTCCTTAAACTCTAAAATGTTCCAGAAATCTTAGCAACTTCAATCTATTTTGGAGATATAACAAGTTGAACCAAAATTAGGAAGATGATCATGGTTCTAGCTCATTTGAGCATTTTATCAAATACTAGGTGTGCATTAAGGTGTCAAAGTCCTTTTATGGAGGATTCCATCACCCCACAACCCATTCTATACCATTTTTAGCTCAACAATTTTCCTACACCCTTTGATAACACATGCATGCAAAATAACCAACTCCGATACGCAAGAATAATTTTACTAATTACCCAATTCTAGATAAAATTTGAGATTGAGGGTTAGGGTGTAGAATTTTACCTCTAGGATGAAGACC